TCGAATCTAAGGGGGTTAATTTTACCAGAAAAATAACAAAATAGATCAGTGTTTGGAACTTATGACCGAGCGGAGTTGCTTGTTAAGTGTGGTCTAGCATTTCGTTAGGGTAACGTAATTGCTAAGCTTGTAATTTTTCTTCTGGCAGGTTCTCTAGATCTAACGAATGTGAAGTATAAAAATAAGCATGTTTCCACCCGTAAGATAAGTTAGCAAAAACGTTATTTTTTGCTCATATATTTTTTTACTTGATTTACTTGCCCGTAATTTATTTTTAAAGTAATTTGCTATTTTATTTAACAGAGACTATAAAAACGAATTTTTTCTTACTATGATTTTTTGTATTTAGGAACAAAAAATGAGTAGTAACGACACCACCACCCTCACGACTAATGATACCACCACCATCACCACGACTAACGATCCTAATACCCCCGAGACTAACAATTATAGCACCCCTAGAACTAACCAAAGGACACATTCCAATCGTCAACGTAATAATAGGAGAAATAGACGTGGTAAGTAAAATCCTGTCTTCTCGCATATATTTAAAGTCAAAAAAATAAAGCATATGTAATACATATTCTGTGCATTAATTTAGACGATCCGGACTACGATCCTGAAGACGACGACAATTTTATTGAAAGAAATCCTCTTTATTATGTTTCTAGAGAATATTATAGATAATGATGACTATACTCGTTTAAGTCGTGGGGACGCACTAAACTTTCTAGAACAAAGTTAATAAATATTTTTTTATTTGTATGCCGTTTCGGCAATTTTTTTTTATGAAATAAAGTGGGTCCTGTGACCTCGGCATTTTTTATTTTAACGTGATTCTTGTAATTAATTAGTGGAGATAATAGAGTCATACCTAGTTTCCTTATCTTTCGTAGAAAGTGCAAATGATATCGAAACTATCGTTAAATAATGCTAAAAAGCTTGCAATAGAACATGGAGGTGAGTGCCTTGATACAATTTATTTTAACAATTCCACTCCTATGCTTTGGAAATGTAATAAAGACCATTTATGGATGGCTCCTTTTAAGAGAATTAAAAATCAAAAAACTTGGTGTTTGCTCAAAGAATAAACCTCGAATGCTTGAAAAAAAAAATATGAACAAGGATATATTTGGACTACAAGAAATGAAAAACTTACGCTTTATTATGCAAAACAATTGGCTTTTAATAGGAATGGTAAGTGTCTTTCTACAGAGTATAAAAATAGCAAAGGCCTACTTTTATGGCAATGCGAAAAATTTCATATATAGCATGCTCGACTTAATCATATTAAAAACCAAAATGGTTGGTGTCCCTATTGCAGTAATAAATTTATACGTGAAAATTTATGTCGTAAAATTATAACTGAGTATCTTGGACCAATCTATGATAAAATATCCAGAATTTTTAAAAACTTCTAAACACACAAAAGGATTACAGCTTGATATATATTACCCAGAATACAGCTTTGCGATCGGAGTTCAGGGAAAACAGCACAAAAAATATATCGAATTCTTTCATAGGGGTGATCTGAATAATTTCATTAAACAGCAAGAATGAGATCAACTCAAGAAAGAATTATGCGAAGAAAATTGGATTGTCCTCAGATATGTCTGGTATTATGAAGACCCATATGTAGTTATTCCGGAGCATCTTCGAGAATTAGGTCTCATTGAATAAGCTCGAAACTTTAAATGCTTTTGCTATTCCTAATTCCATTTACATTATTTATTTCAAAGTTAGAATAAAACAGGGAACAATCAAAATCATATGAATAAGGTATATTTGTCTCGCAATTAGCAAGAAATTTTATTTTTTCAATTTATAAAACCAAATACGTCAGTAAGAGAAAAAATGTTTCAACATAATTATCTAGTTTTCAGTCTCAGTGGGGAAGTCCAAATATTATCATTGTCTAAATAATAATCTGTGATTTTTTTTAATAATGATTGATACCGTTTATGGAGGTCTTGAATTAATGACTACAAAAGAATAAAGGTCAGCTATAATAAGAATAAATAAGAACGCTTGGGCATAGATATTATAATTACCCGCAATGTCAACATTCTTACAGCCGACTTCGTTAGACTCGGTAAAGATGTAACTTGTTCCGGAATATCGAATTCAAAAATTGAAAAAACAACTGGGCGCATATTAACCGGCCAATTAGCAAGGTATACATCAGCTGTCGTACCTGTAAAGTTATAAAATTAAGTTTTTAAAGATTTTGCATTAACAATTAGACATAGCTTTACTTACCACAGAATTGAATGCAGAGGATGGGCAAATCTGATATTTCGTGTACAATTTTCTCTGGTAATGAGGATACTATAAGCTTGAACATTATAACTATTGCTTCATGCAATTTTGACAAGTCTTTGTCTCTTTTTGACAATATTGATGTGGTTACTGTTTCCACATAAATAAACTCGATTTTTCTATTAAATGACAAGATTCCATCATATTTTGGCTTTTTTGATGATTTAATTCCAAGTAACTTTTGTGCTTTGCTTTCGACTTCACCACTATTATACAAGAACAAATTAGCTAAATACAACATAAAACACAACAGTTTTATTTAGAACATACCGTCGGAGAATACAATCATTAAGTGAAGCTAAGCAATCATCGAAAAATGGCGCAACAATGTTGCTGTTGTACCATCCTTCTTGTAATTCGGAACTATCTAAATTCAATACACCCTTGTCTTGAAAAAGAAAAAAACTGAAAACAAGATAAATAAATATGTTTACAAAAATATAACAAACACATTGTATTCGATACTTACAATTTCTCAAACAAATGACGCAAATATACAGTATCTCTATTGGGATTTTCATAGTTAATGGTGATATTTGAAAGAGCTTTTCCAAGCTCCGATAATGATGTCTAAATGTGTTAATTATAAGTAATAATATTAAGTTATTTTTTGGTTTTCGATTAATTACTTACTACGTTGAAATACTTCAAAGTTTCCAAAGCTTCTTTTGACACGGATCTTTGTGGTTTATATTTCTTCATTTCCGCTTCAAAATAAACCTTTACAGATGGTCCTAAGACATTCATAATCCTACTATCATTCAGGTCGATAATACCATAATTTAATGACGATTTTATTTTTGCTTTCTTTTCTTTCTCACATAAGCCTATTATTTTTTTTTCGATATCTATTTCACCAATAATTTTATCAAAATGCCATGGAGACCAAACCATATCCATGTATTCATTATTAGTTATAAATCGTGGTTGTTTATAATAAGGAGAAGGAGACGTGGGAGTTATTGATTTCTCAACTAATTCATTACTTGAATCGTTTAAGATATTTGAAATATTATAGCTGTGAGGAGTCGTAAGAATTGTAGATGCTATTTCACTACTTTCTGGATCGTTCAAAATATTTGAGACATTCATTATGTTTGCAGGTGCGTCGGTGGCCTAAATAGCAGAGTTGAAGAATCAATTGAATACAACTCTAATTGAATACCATACTTCATCCTTCTCGATGTGTCCGGTTACTAAAACGGATTATTCCTGACATCTGTGATTATTTCTTGGTTTCCTTTGTACGCCTGTGTCTTATTTTCCACTTTGTCTAAAGTAATAAATAAGCATTGTTACCTCCTGAGACAAAAGTATTTCATCTACGTAGATGTCTTCGTTAATGTTAATATCTTCATAAAATCGCATATCATACGAATTCTCGATATCGTTCTGTCATAGTTTGTTCATATGTTATGTGTTTGTCAAAGAAAGTTATAAAAGACATTTTTCGACCTGATCGTAATTACCTTTTGAACACAAGGGAACCCAAAACCTGACGGATATATTGACGGATATATTTGGTGTTCGGGAGTTCTTGGTTGTTGATCTCGCCAACGAACAGGGAAATAATCATCAATTCTCGTCCGCTTTGGGACTTTATCATTATCCTAAAGATTAAGATTATAGTTTTATTAGGAACGAATACAAAATGATAGTTATAGTAAAAAAAAAATTGTGTACCTGATTATCGGGAACTTGAACCTCTCTTTTTGAAGATCCTGAAACGATCCCATTTACAGTTCCTATTGTTCCATTATTCACAGTCCCACTGAGATTTCCATCCACGAATGTCGGCTGGTGGAGGTAGATCGATCCATAGACACGTTCCCTTTCCCAATTTCTTGCTCTTTTGTAATCGGGTTTAGGACCCTAGCACAAAAAAAAATTAATTTTTGAACCGATTTCCTATAACTCTATCATTCTAATCCCAACTGTCGGATCAGCTTATAGCCTTGAACGTCAAACAGCCTCGAGAACCATTTGGGCTCCAATAGGGCCGGTACTGAGTTAGCTTTTAGCCTTAAACATCAGTCGACCTCGGAGAGTCTCCTGTGCCTCAATACCGCCAAATGACAAGAAACCTCAGAGAATCCCTTGCCATCCATTTCCCGCCTGCATTTTCAACAAAAAAATGCTTTTATACTCGCCTTTCTATATTGATCGAGCAAATATTGTGCTCTTTCGCGCCTGCATCCTTCTTCATTATTAGCTATGGTTTCAAGACACGCAATATAACATGATATCTTCCGGTCGAAAGGTTCCACTTCACATTCTTTCAGAAATTCCAAAATATTCCATTGGAAGTAGGCACGTTCGAAGTATTTGTGCCACATAGAGTAAAAGAAATGCGAATAGGTTATTGGAATTTTATTTGGGAGATACTAGCTGAATCGTGCTGTATTACAGACGTGTTTGCAGCGAAGCAAGGAAGAACTTACTGAAAATTTTCCACTATCATGAAATTTCGATGTTAAAGAGATAAACAATATCAGAATTTGTCATCCTCGTTTTCTCGTATTCTTTTGGTAAAGTCGTTCATGGTTCTTCTCCGTTTTAGGATTTATCACGTTGTATCAAACTCTTTAATCCTCTGCATGCAGAACTTGAGTGCAAATTTAGTGTGACATTTATGTGATACCTGAATTTTTGTATAATGTGTATAGCGTAGCTTTTATAAACTATCTATATGCAAATAATTAAAGGAGCTACCTTAGAAAATTATCACATCACTTTTATATTCCATCCGCTACTTTTTTGCATGTCTTACAATATAGGTGTGAATGATGATCGCATTCGTCACAAACCTTACACCCATGCTTCCATCCTCTAAAGATATGCCACTTTTCGATGTAATTTCGATTTTTTTTATTTGTTAATACGTTACTCTTATCTTTCATTGT